CTCTTTGCTGTGGCTGCCAGTACTGGTGGTAATCATTTTTCACCCATGTATGGTCTGAGAATACTGCCTTTCTCACCTAACAGGTGAGGAGCTTCTCTATCTACACATGTGCAATACAAATGCTAAGCTCTTAGGATCATAGGACCATAGAAAAGTGAGGTTGGAAGGGACTTTACAAGGTCCTCTAGCCCCCCCAACTCAAAGCAGGATCATACCTAACTAAACCATCCCAGCCCAGTGTTTGTCCAACCTGCTTTTGAACATTTTGAGGAATGCAGATTCCACAACTTTTCTAGGTAGTCTGTTTCAATGTTTGACTACCCTTGTAGTCAGAAAGTTCCTCCTAATCTCCAGCCTAAATTTCCTCTGCTGCAGTTTGAGGTCATTGCTCCCAGTCTTGTCTCCTGCAGCCCCAGAGAAAAACCCAGCTGCATCTTCTCTGTAATCTGCCCTTCAGATATTTGAAGACTGTTATCAAATACCTCTTCAATCTCTTCTTCTCCAGACTAAATAACCATAGTTCTTTCAGCCTCTTCTCATGATGCAAAATTGATAATGCTGAGGTGTTAACAAGCCCTTCACACTCCTTTGCCAGCCCCAGTCATTGATTCCACCAGGGCCTTCTGAAGCAATCAGCAAGAGCCCAACCCTTCCAACAGGGCACAGCAGGTCCTTTGACTGACTTACCTACCTCAGCTAAGTAATCCCATCTCGCTCCAGCAAACTCAATTAATGAGTCTGATCCATTTAATTGAGTCTGCTCTAATGCATGTTAATTAGCACATATACACATGCCAGACATTTGCTCTGATAAGTGCCCATGTTGTCCCAAAGGCAGCTCCCCCTCAGGTAGATAATCTGAGAAATTACCATTTACCAGGGAAAATTCAGATCTGACACAGTACTGATTTGTTACCATGACAACCATTCTACGTTCATCACAACTTCTTTGGTGCCAAGTCTCAGGAATCCTTCCCATAAGCTCCACACCCCTTTGGCCCATGCAGCAAATGATATACTTTGCAACATGCTGACCTTGGCAGAACAAAGAGCTGAGCTGGCACCAGTAGGTGGGAGTCACAGTGCTCCAAGTCCACTAAAGGCCAGATGAGCCTGCTGCCTTATGTGGATGTAGAGGCTGCATCTGGAGGGAATGAGTTTCCTTTTGTGTGCCCCTCCACTTCCAACCAAGGACTGAGGGACTGCCTGGGAGCAGTCAAGGTCATGTTTCTGCCCCCTTTCATGCCAGGCAGGCAGGCTGGTCTGGAGCTCTAGGAGAAATTGTGCCTCCTGAGCCATAGTCCCTGCATGACTCGTTGCCAGGACAGCACATTCCTTTGTCAGCAAGAAGGGAAATATCTTGACTAATAGTCTGTAAAGTGCTCGGGAACCCTGGCAAGCAGTGGCCTCCAGCCTTTGCTGGCCCTTGGGCAACAGCACTGAAAAAGGGATATGTTAAGTGATATGTTGTAAGTAAATCTGTACATTGCTTTTCCCACCAACCTCAGTCTAACTTTTCAGTTTCCTCTGCTGGCAAGTAGCATCAGGGAATTCAAGCAATGTATTAGTGTTACCATACATTTGGTTTTTCCCAAACATGTCCTCTTTTTGAGTCGTCTGATCTCCGTCCAGGCAGTTTTTTGAAATAGGAACCAATGTCCAGGATTTTGCTCTGCTCTGCTGGCTGCTGGGGGGGGGGGGGGGGGGGAGACTTGGGTGGGGGG